CTCGGCTCATAGCGTTGGGTATGTTTGTAGTGGTGATCGCGTGTTACATGAATTCGTTGCCGTTTTTCATTTACGGCGCTTCCCATCACTTACTGTACGACTCGGCGTCCAATACGTCAGACAAGTACCAGTTCTGTGGCACTCATTCAGAGATTGACAGCACGTGTGCCAAACAGTCTGTCGAGTCCAACACTTTGCCGGTGATTATCATATTCTTTACAGCAAACCTACTGAACGGCATCGGCGGTAACGCCTTCTTCACCGCCGGTTTCACATATCTGGACGATAACGTCCGGAAGGGAGAGTCGGCCATATTCTTGGGCGTCACGTATGCCGTGCGACTGTTGGGCCCGCAATTGGGCTACTTTTTGGCCGGACTTTGTCTCAAGTATTGGGAGAACCCTCTCTGTGAGTGATGTCTATCTCTAACCCCCTATTTATAACATAAAACAGATGTAATTCTCGTGAAATCAATACATGTTTAAGTAGACTAATAACTGATTACTAAATCTAACACTTCATATGACTTTAACGAACAGTTTATGCGATAAACAATTATATCAATAGTTGTTTTAGATATTTCACTGAATGCTTGCCATTCATTACATCAATCGATTCGCTGCGATAATCAGCAAACATAACATGATATGACATAACATATGCTTATAAATTGTGTTAAATGTTGAAAAATAAACCAATATTGGTGTTTATTTAAATGCAACCTGCACAGATAGCGTGGATATCACGGCAAAGGACCCTCGTTATGTGGGAGCATGGTGGATCGGTTTCCTTATAATAGGCACTCTTCTCCTCGTCTTCACGTTTCCGATCGCATTGTTTCCCAAAAGAATGCGCGGAATGACAGTCAAGGGAACAGAATCTGTGCCTAAAATCTCAGGTCTTTTCAATTGCATTCACTCTATCTTTCTTTTGATTAAATTCAATACAAACAGCGAAAAAAATACAAAAAACAATAGGAAGAAAAGAAATTAAAATTTATAATAAAACTTTTCCTTTCTGTGCACAGAATTTCCACAAAAAGCCATAAAATTACTTAAGAATCCGATTCTGGCATTATTTACGGTAACAGCTGTGCTATCAGTGAACGCAGGAATCGGTTACTTTATTTTTAAGCCCAAATACATGGAAAATCAATTCAGGAAAACCTCATCCGAGGCCAGTCTCATAACAGGTCTGACCCGAAATATTTCCACATTTACTTTGCCTTTTGTTTGAGAGTTAATGAAATAAAATTCTTATCATTCTTCAGGAACTGTTGGTATGATTACGGGAACGTTTGGTGTGATTGTGGGCTCAATAATAATAAGCAAATTTCGACCAAGACCCAAATACTTGATCATATATATGATTGTGCTAGGTTACATATCTACTGCCTCAATGCTCTCCATGTGGTTCATGGGCTGTGACAACCCAATGATGGCAGAGACAAAACTAATCGACAATAAACTGTCGCTAATGAGTACGTGTAACGGCGACTGCCGGTGCACTACCCGTACTTTTCAGCCCGTATGCGGTGCCGACGGCTTTTCAAACTATTTTAACCCGTGTTTCGCCGGTTGTACTCATGAAATGGGACTCAACGCCAATAAAGTGGTTCAATTCGGTGGCTGTAAGTGTGCGGTCGGACAGACAGTGACCAAAGGGTACTGCAGGTCCGACTGTTCGGCGTTCACGCCATACATTAGTGTACTGACGGCCGAACAGATGCTGCAGTCGACGTCCAGAGTCGGCGATACATTGATTTTGTTGCGATCAGTCGAGGCTCAGGACAAGAGTTTTGCGTTGGGACTCTTGGCCTCATTAATCAATTTATTCGGTTAGTTGTTATCGTTACTCTTTTTTTGTAGATAAATACGTGGTAAACATGTTTCTATTTATTATGTGATATGCATTTTGAAACCCACAATAACAAGCAATACAATTAACAAGTTGCACAATATTTGCCAACTAATAGCAAATACCAGTACTTGTAAATACTTGTACTTCTTTATACTCTTTCCCAATCACTAATTACATTGATATTTGCATTAAATGTCACATAAATTTTGAAAATGTTTACGTTTGAAGTTTTTTCCAAACTTTACTGCTGTATAGACTTAAATTAAAACCACAATTAACGCGAGACCTAACTCTATATGTTTGTGTTAGCCTTCATTCCGGCGCCCCTAGTGTTCGGTGCGCTGACGGACGCGGCCTGTGATGTATGGCAGCGGACGTGCGGTCGGACGGGTCAGTGTTGGCTCTATAACACGGATCGGTTCCGGCATTTACTACACGGAACCGCTTTCTCGCTAATACTGTTGGCCACTCTCTCCTCCACTGCTATACTATTCTTCGCGAATCGTATCAAAGATTTTTACGGCAATAAAGACGACGACCAGACGTCTAATAACGATAGGAATCTCGAAATGAGTTTAACTGTAAATATAAATTCCGATCACAAAGACCCTGATGTTTGTATTTAATTAGCACTCACTCACATTGTATACCATTTTCACATTTACA